TGTGTGAAAGGGTGAATGTGGCACGTAGTGTAAAAGCGCTTTGAGTGGTCGGAAGACTAGAAAGGCTATACAAGTCCATTACCATTCTTGTAATCCGGATGGGAGTTTACATCCGTCAACGTCAATGATTAGAATCTGTGTATTACAGGGCTGCCATTAAAAATGTCAGAGATAATTGTTGAGCTAGTTGAATTATTAGAGCATTTATGCTTCATGTTCAGATCACAAAAACTGATTTATGTCCTTTTTAGCAAATAATATGTGGCTGTTATGACTCCCAGAATGACTCATTTTTAAGAGGCTAATAATATAATACAAAGTCAAACAGTAAAGGATTAATCCTTTATTATCATTATTATTTTATTTTAAAATAAATGTGATCCCAAAAAATACAAAATCAAGTACAAACAAAAATAATTATGTGAATTAATTTCTAAGTTTTCTGTAGTCAAAAAGGCTCTCTGCTGTAAAGATGTAAGCACACAGATTGTTTTTGTTGCCTGGGTTAGCCAGTTGACTCAGTTTAATCAGGTTTAAGAGCCCACAGGTTCGCCTTGGCCCTTTATAGCGGTAGAAGACGTAACTGTGACGGAGCATGACAAGCTGTCACGTCCGCTGTGCCAGTGTACCTAACACACCATTTTGGATAATGGCCCTCAGTGTGCAGGACGAGAAACAGCTAAATATATGTTGTTTTTTTATGGAAGAATCTCCTGTCACACATTACTTGTTTATTGAATTCTCACACAGCTGCTCCATTAAGTGGGGACATCAGTTTGGGTATATAAAACAGTTGGTTACAAACAAGCAGCAGTGGACACACGCTAGTAAGATTTAAATTTTTGCTCAAATTTCAGCTTCAGAAACTTTGTCTTTGTTAGATTTTAGTGCTTCAGTTGCAGTTAGTGAGACTAACTCTATGATTAAACTCATCATAAAAAGGATGTCATCATATTTGTGCATGATTGCATTGTATATTTAGATTGGATGTCCCAAACTAAGCTCTTTCCATCCCTTTGCTGTTTCTCCACATCATCATGTTGATCTGACTTCTCCGCTGTATTTTCGAAAGACAAAACTCGTACAAGCTGTGTCCTCCAGGCGTCTTGTGATCTTTCTGTGGTTTGCTGGGTTTGCTGAAGAGGACAACGTGTTTGTTCCATTCACAATCTTCCCTTCAAATGCCATTACACTGAAAACTGCCCATACACCTTCCACTCCAGAACTTCAACGCTTCCTTCCCTCGCAGGGTTATTTGAGCAGATTGGAGCAAAGAATGTCCTCTCGTCTACATTTAACTTTACATTTGACCTGAGACGGCTCAAAGGCCAGCTCAAAAATGTCTCAGGTCAAACTGGTCTTCACAGTGTCGCACACACACCATGCAACGTTAAGTGTTGAAGTCACAAGGGATCATTGTTTATGAGCTGCTTGCCCTATACATCTTACATATTGATATTTACTGTGTTGACATTCAGCACTTAATGTCTAAAGCATTCAATGGACACCTACAAGCGACTGTAGAATAAGTCTTTGACATTTCCATAATCACAAGCTACAATGTAAGAAGCACAACAACAGACAATGATACTATATAAGTGAAGTAATGGCGTGGATCAGGCAGGTAGCGTACAAGGAAAAGTTACCAGTTACTGTAACTGCATAATACAACAATTCAACTTGAAAGGCAAAGGGATTATTTAGGGAGAGAGTCTTAAAGGGCCGTACTATAAGCCCAGAGCCGTTTATAGAATGAATGAGGTTTTAGTGAGTCACTAAAAGCAAACACCAGGCACGTTAAGATGTCAAGAATAACAAAGTAAATAGACCAAAGATACAAGATCTCTCAGCTCTCAAACAAATCAATCTTAGTCTAAGGTGATGCAATACTTTCTGAGACTACTCGTACTGTACAGTTCAGAAGATAACATTGTAATTGTCAAAAGATAGTATATTATATATATAGTAAGTATTAGTCCAATCCAATACAGTTTGTCCAACAGAGAACAAAATCTAGAATACATCTAAGAGATACCTATCAAGATTGCTTGTTTATGTTTTATATTTATGGTTAAAAAGTCCTCCAGTATCGGTCAGGCTATCAAATATAGTCATATCTTCAAAAAGCATCTAAAGGTGGTAAACGACTTGCTTGACAGGCCACGTTTCACTTTTGAGATACATGAGAGATACGTGTAATCCTGCTCCTAGGTCTCTTTTTACTTGTGCAGGTAATTAGCTGGGCGCCACAAGTCAGGTCAGGTTGTTGGTGTGAGAGCAGCAGTCAGAGGCTGGTCTGAGTCCTCAATCCTTATGAGATTAATGGCTAACCTCCCTCTGCCCGCTCCATTTACAGAACATGTCAAGTTTTCTTTGGAAAGAGCACACTGCCACCTCAGTTCTCACCTGCAAACATCTAAATGCAACACTGTACCAGTATGAGAGCCTACGTGCGTGTTCATACGAAGTGTGTGTCAGTCAAGGCGGGAATGTTCATCTCGGAGGCGTGGGGTCAGATGTTGGTTTTTTTCTGTCTCTTTGCCTTTGACCTCAATCCCAGAGTTTGGCGAAGCAAGTCGTCACCGCCTTCGGAAGCCATGCAGGTTCCCTCCTGCCTACTCTGTCATCAAATGGTCTCTGTGAACTCTGGTCTTTATCTGCAGGGCTCCTCACTGTCGGCATCTGGAGCACATGAGTTATGGCCTGTTAATAAGTTAATGACAGGAAGAAGAGGGGAGGCTTTAATTTTAGTCCCTAAAAGGGTTCAAACAGAGGTCAAGGTAGATGGAAATGTGTGGCAAATGGCACAATTTCCCAAAGCCCAAGATAACTTCTTCAAATTTGTTTCTTTTGTCCGAATGACAGCCCCAAAACCTTCATTTTAGGAGCTGAAACTTGCAAATGTTTGGGGCTTTTCAATGTAATATTTTATGTCTTTCTTACTGTCAACAAATTCCATGAAAAAAAAAAAAGCTATTAAAAACACATAAATGAGCTCCACTGTTGCACTGGGTGACATGTGCCTTAATTACAACAAACATGGGCACTGTAGTTTATTTTGACTCAATCCCACATACACTGCCGTCCTGCTGCCGTATAAATACTCACTAGAGCACGAAAACTGTGTTAATCCGCTGCTGAAAATAGTCCAACTGCACTATTTACTCCTGTTAACATAATGCTTGTTGAGTCTTTCAAAAACTACATATTTGCGACCTGTTTTTTTTAAAGATTTCTATCTTCAGTAGGAAGTAATGGGCTTGGGAGTAAATGCCACAGACAGGATGGGGAAACTAATGAGAGATGGACAACGAACACATTGTTGGTTTTGGTGTTTTCGTGGGATTTATTATAGGAGAAACATGTAGGAGTAACACCAACCTTATACTATATACTAAATAATCAAATCTAGTCCAAACGGTCGGGTAATTTTATGTCAGTCGACTAATCCAGTAAATGATGAATCATTTCAACACTATACTTAAATAATTTTGATTATAGATCCAAGTATTCAATACATGGATATTAAAAAAATTATTAAAACCCCTGCTTCTAACCTCAGCACACATCACTGGAGGCTATAAGTAGAATGACTGAATCCATTTTTTCACTTGCCCTACTTTTCTCTCTGTATTTAGTCAAGATTCCTACAGATACCACAGTGGCTGGATGTTACTCAAATCCTGGCCAGACTTAACTGTATCTGTGTGAGTGAAACATCAGGACACTGCAAACTTCTTCATTTGTGTATTAAGTGGCAGTGTAAAGCACCTGGTTTGGTGCAAATGTTGGCCGACACACGACATGTGTCCATGTCCTGGTTGTCACAGTAGGGGCGCTGACAGGGACTTCTTAATACCGGTGGCTCCTCTACCATCAACACTGCTTATGTAACTCCACTTATGTGGCACCAAGCCCAAGTATTTCCAACCCCAGCTATTGCAGACCCCCAACTCAACACACACACACGCATACACACACACACACCTCCCAGCAGCTAAGAATAAAACATCCAGCTGGAAGAGAGAGGATAAGAAACTTTTAGTAGAGGCTCCTTCACACACCTCTTTATCTAGTCTGTTTTTATGGATATACGCACTTGTCTTTTCAAAATCAAGAAGGTTTGTTTTTGTGGCTCCCCCCTGCATCGCTTTCTCCAGTGTTACGCAACGCTTTTTGGCCTCATTTTTCACAGAGAGGAGGGGGAAGAGAGAGAGGTCGGGGCTGAAAGATGGAGTCAAATATCCCATGGAAAAGTTAGATAGAAGCCTTGCACAGCTGTCAACAGAGGATCCCTTCTTTGGGAAATGCTAGACGGCTTCTGACTAAAGATAGATATCTTTGAGTCTAATTGAAACACATTATAGTTATCTGTAATAGCCAAAGAAATCATGTTTATTAGACTTTTCTCTAATGAATCGGTGGCTGCCATGATGTGAAAATAGTCTCTTTGAACTGACTGTACAGTTAATTTCTGCTCTTAGTCACGGCTTGAGTGCGTATGTGTACTGGGAGGAGGCCTTATGTTACCCTGAAATTAACCAGCACCAGAAAACAATGCAATCAGATGACACCATTGCAGTGTAAACACAGCTCATATTTGTGCTTTGTTGTTTCCATCTGTATTTCATTTTCCACTGTATTTGATGCGGTTTTTGTGGACATTTTAAAAGAACTATCCCTCAGTTTGGAGGTTTTGATGAGTCATATGAAAGAAGCACCCATTATCAGCTCCATTTTCTTCAACAGCTCACATTTTATGAACTGTGTTGATCAGAGTTGCCACAACAGGATTTTGGTTTTCCGTAAGAGCTCCTCTGAAATTGCCAAATGTACGTTTTGCATTTCAGTATTTTGCAATCATGCCATCCAGCATGCCAAGCTCTAGTAAATCCTGCGGTTTTGGAAGTGTCAGGATATCTGAGTGGCTCGGCCGCATGCCACAGCTCCAGTAAAATCACATTACACTGACTCTGGCTGCAAACAGGCGACTATCCACAGGAGACAAAGCTTGCTGCGCAGGGGTCTGATGTTATCGCGCTTAGATACATAAATATCCAGATGCACATCAACCCATAAACCCACTGACTCATTCACCCTGGCTCATGTACAAACAACACCATAACACACCACAATTTGTGTCATATATATTGCGTGCTTTTTAGGATATAGTGATCTACAGTGTGAATAAACCTCTATGACCATGTCTGTAATTTGTTGTCTTTAAGGTTCTTAAAACTAAATAGAGTGTATGAAGCACATATTAGATTAAAGTGGAACTGACTCATTCAGAAGACTTCTAGACACTTGTATGATCTAAATTGATCTGCGTTAATAGTCATTACTTGTCCTCTAAACCCAAGATGTTTTTTTTCTTACGTATGAGGAATAAGCTGTAGCCTGTGTTCACATCATAAACTGATCACTATCGACCTAAAAGCCAACCACTTGGTCAGTAGACGCCTCTGTGTCTCGCTTTTGAGCCCAGGCCTCGTGTTTGAGTTGCTGGTGCAATATGACAGTTTGACAGGTGACTGACGCAGGTAAAAGGTCTCTTGCGTTGTGTGACTTCAGACGCCGTATATCTTCAAACAGTCTACCTCCTGTGTTGATGCAGAAGCTTAGCATTAGCAGCGGTAGCACCTCCCTGCTTACTGGGAAAAGGCAAAGAGGAAGGAGAGAGAGTAGCGGTCAAGTTGATTGTAAGCATAAACATATGCAGAGCAATTTTCCCAGAAATCTGCCTCAATGCAGGATTCATGGTCCTGAGGTCTCCCAGGAGTTTTCCACTAACCACCAACCACAGGCAGAGTTACCCCAACAGCACCTAAATTGGGCCATTCATCCTAGAGGAAGCACAAAAATGTCTTTGTTCATCCAGCGTGATTGCTGTGTTTGGTTCAGTTTTACATGGATTTTTGGACACCTCCTCCTTAAATTTGTAAAGTCAGAGCTCCCCTTATTGGAAAATAAATGTGAATATGTAATGCGAGGGTCACCCAGATGGATGAACCTGTGGTTTACAGTCCCGCAGCGGGCTCATTAGTTAAAGTAACAGTGATTTATCAGGTTGGTCCCGTGGATTTGTATGCTGTGTTTATTGCTACCTACTTACGTAACCAGAGCTCTACAACTCAACTGTCAACGCTACTGCATTTTTATATTGACAAAACAAACTCAACTCAAGGTCCATTTAGTCACAGTGGAGCTTTCAATCATATCACATGACCTTCATCAACAGATGCAGTTTGTCAAGTTGTAAATTGTAGATGTTTAAATGTCTTTAAGGACTTCCTGTCCTTATTGGCTTAAACTTTAGCTTCAATCAAAAATCCTGACCTTGGAAACAAAACAGCCTCAAGGTCCATTTATTAGCTGTTCTGGAGTGCGTTTGCACTTTTATCCCAGTTATGATCAGGTTTTTGGTGTACACCACTATTTTTAGAAACCTGAATACGCCCTTTTATTCTGGTTTTGAGAAACCTAAATATGCTACCTTTCTCAGAAACTGGGATACTGTGGGTCATTCTCTGCTATGTGTGCAGGTGCTTCCTCAACTCGACCTGAAACAAGATAGCCAGTAAACCAAAATAAATTGACGATTAAACTATTTAATGATGATATACACGCTGGAAAAAAGTAAAAGTCTCTCTTCTTTTATTACCGGTGATAAAGCCAGTAGAGCAGTAAATGCAGCCAAATTGTCAATTTCTAGCTTAGTTCCAGACGTCAGACTCACTGTCTAAATCTCAGATTTTTTATTAGTGATTCAAATTGGTCTTGTGTCTTGTGCTTATTGATGGCTGTTTTCCCTAGTTCAAGAAACAACTCAGCCAATGAGAGGTGGGATTAAGAATATGGATGTCATATTCCTGTTCCAGAGCCAGATATTCATCCTCAAAGAAATATGGACAGAATAATGGTTATAAGGATGGATGAAATAGATGCAAGTTGTTTTAAGTCAAATTACCAAAATAAGAACTCTTAAATCAGCATAATTCTGAAATCATCATGAAAAATGTGAAGTTAACTGTTCCAAGCAACCAATAACAGCTTTTGTGCTGACTGGAAAGGCTGTTGACATGGATAGTTCAGTCGCTATTGATTGACTGTGCATGTAAACATACTCTTAACCATGCGATTTTCTCTGCAGACCCGTAAGCTGACCAAGGCAGAGCGACAGCGTTTCAGTGAGGAGGTGGAGATGCTAAAGGGCCTGCAGCACCCAAACATCGTCCGCTTTCACGACTCCTGGAAGTCAACGGTTAAGGGCCTCAAGTGCATCATCCTGGTGACCGAACTCATGACCTCAGGCACGCTCAAAACGTGAGTCTTCTCCACCCAGTTCCCATTTACACTTTTTATTAAAAGATAGAAATTGTGCCTAAAAGCAGTTCATTTTTCATTTGTTCTTTTTGTAAGAAGGTGTTAATTTCTCAAACGGCGGATATCCTTTTTCCAAGTAAAGCTCTTCAGGTCTTCCATAAAAAAGAGTGTTTTTGTGTCATGTTTGACAGCTTGTCTTTTGCTTTTAAAGGAATGAAAAGGTGCAGAATAAGATCAGAGAATAGCTCCACTCTGGATACAATGTTCTGGGAGACTTTTAAACTTCCTCTTTGCTGCCAAAATAAGAGATTAATTATTTTGTAGCTCTTTCTCTTCTTCCAGTATTTTGATATGTTTAGAATGGGGTGTTTAGTCTTGTCCTCCTTTGTTTTAGGTACTTGAAGAGGTTCAAGGAGATGAAGCTGAAGCTGCTGCAGCGCTGGAGTCGTCAGATCCTAAAAGGGCTTCACTTCCTGCACACGCGCACTCCTCCCATCATCCACCGGGACCTCAAGTGTGACAACATTTTCATCACTGGCCCTACCGGCTCCGTCAAGATAGGAGATCTCGGGCTGGCCACTCTCAAAAGTGCCTCTTTTGCTAAAAGTGTCATTGGTAAGTCTTTACACAAATATCTCCTTCAACTGATGTCAGGAAGAAAAACTTGCACAAATCTAATGATGTAAAATCTTGAAATTAAGCCTTTGTTTAAATTATTTTGCTTCCAATTTCTCCTGCATGGATCATTGAACACAACCAACCATTGATGCCTGTGTTTTATTTCTTGGCTCTATTTTCAAATGTGGCATCATTACTCAAATTGCTTTTAGTGAGAACTTGCCCTTCCCATCAAGAACATGCAGGGAGTGTCAGCCATCAGTATAAAGACTTGTTGATACTTGGTTCTTGCTGAAAGTGACAGTTACATTTTCTTCATTGTAAAATAAAAACAAAAAAATATTTTCAGACATAAAGAATGAATAAGGACTGGTTATTTACTTTTGAAAGATGTGAGTTATCCACTTGGAGAAGATGTGGGGAAAAAAGCCGTTCATTTGGATTAATTTAAGGCTTTTAGCATTTCTTTTTTTTCGACACACAAATTGTTTGAAATTTTGCATACAAACACTACACCTGAAAGTATGCTGATGTATATATAATGTTTTGTTTTCTATACAGTATGTGTTACCAGAAGATGTCTTATCATATAGCTGTTGCTGGTTAAACCCTTTAACACCCATCCTAATGGAGAAACAATGTTTTTAAAGCTGGGCTAATCCATAGTTACTGCAAACCGAACAGGATCCACAAAGATTTACTTGAAGTGAGTTGAAACTGGACCTTTGATTGCCTTTACGTCTGCCCTCTGACAGGAACACCAGAGTTCATGGCCCCTGAGATGTACGAGGAGAAGTACGACGAAGCGGTGGACGTCTACGCCTTTGGAATGTGCATCCTGGAAATGGCCACCTCTGAGTACCCGTACTCCGAGTGCCAAAATGCCGCCCAGATCTACCGCAAAGTCACCAGTGTGAGTAAAGGAAGAAGGAGGACCCCTATTTAATGTAATTGTCCACATGTGTTCACTTTCTTCCATGTGCACGCTGGAATTAAACCGAGAGGAACTAGGATATCTTGTGTGTACGTCTGGATATCCTGCATCCTTGGAAAGAAGTGGGGCCCACATGGAATGAAAGCCGCATTTTGCAAATTAAAGGCTCAGTTTTGTCCATTACAAGCTCAGGGTGTAGAAACATACCATAACCTGCTGGCTTTTCTGTTTTCAGACCACAGTCATGACGCAGAGGATTTACCAGTTCAAAGATCCTGTATAACTGGTTCTGGCTATCATGTTCACTGGAATATGCCTAACCTATTGACACTGGCATTTGCAAATGTTCTGTCTGAAGTGCTTTGCAGAATTTCTTTTCAAGAAGGCACAGATGCATTAGAAAATGAAATATTTTTCTAGCATTAAAAGTTGTCGAATGAAGAAGAGAGCTTGAATCCCAGCCCAGATCCCACCTACAGGATGTAAACTGTTGGATTCATATCATAATGTTATAAAGACAAAAAATGTGGGACTTCTCAGGAAAAAAAGACCAGAAGCAGTGTAGTGAGTTAAGACTCTGGCATTACTGTAGTGGATTTAGGCTGCCGTATTTCAAGCTGTTCCCAGATGCCAAGCACAGCGAATGACGCCATGGTGGGCAAGAGGAGGTGGTGGTAGAATTATATGTTTTGGAAATTGTGTCTCACTCTTTACTCCACAAAGAGAGCTGTTTCTTTCTCGCGTGTCACATATGCAAAGCAAACAGCGTCTGATGGAGGCTGGAAAGTGAGAAAGCGGCAATGCCAACAAGTCAGAGTGGGTCTGGCTCCTCCACAAACAAGACAACATAATAATGTTCCATGTGCAGTCAGAGAAGCTTACCCAAGCAACAAAATTTAATTAAAATGATATTAGCAGTGGCTTTCATGATTTGTTTTACGTTTATGTGCAGTACAGACAACGTGTTTCAATTTATTGGCATGGCAGTTAATTTTTTCATTTGACACTAACCTATAAACTTTATGTAACTTATATATGACTGCCTTGACTTGGCATTGAAGGGGCTTAGAGTAAGAAATATAGCTTGACGTATCAAATACAGAACATATACAAATATTGTAAAGTTCTTGGAAATATTTTCCATGTGGGTGGTCACAACAGACCTTTTTTGGCCTTGCTCTTAATGTGTTTTATTTTACATCAAATAAATAGTCTCATACGTGAATGAATGTCTACTTACTGTGGACAAATGCCTTCTCTTATACACTACTTGGGCAAGACTTTGTGGACACCCAAACATTACACCTACATGTGATTATTGAGCAACTCATTCTAAAACCATGGGCATTGATCTGCTGCTATATAAGCCTGCAGTCTTCTGTAAGTGCTCATCTGCATGAAACATGTACAAGAAGCCCAAATTTGCATGTTGAAATCTCTTGTTTTGCCCAACCAACCATCAAATATTGATATTTGAGAAGCTGGAATTAGTGCATTTTGGCATTTGTTCTTTAAAAATGCAATGTATTTGTTGTGAATTAAAACAGGAAAGGACCTTCATCAAACTGTTGCCAAAAAGTTGTAAGCATACTGTTGTCTAAAATATCACTATATGCTGTAGCATTAAGATTACTCTTAAAAAGCCCCAGACCAAAAGTATGTTAACATGTTAGTCCAGGGGCGTCTGTATATTTTTGGCCATATGATATATTTCCCTCAGTGAATGGAAATCTATGGCAAAGAATAGCAGATTTTGCTTGTAAGACATAACCTTTCTTATGTTTATGTAAAATAATTGTTTCGGGATCATTCAAGATCTTATCTGGACCTCTGTTACCACAGGAAAGGAGCAGAGACTCAAATTAGATTTGAATTGAGGGAAAACTGATTAAAAGGGTTCCAGTAAGGATAATGAAGCAAACTGCTTAAACAAAGAAACCTCTGTGCTCTGCTTAAGATCCTTTAAATCACATTTCATATATAACATAACAGCATTTCAGTAATTGCACTGAAGCCTTTTAAGACTGAAATTATTATGTTACAAATCAGAATTCATTCTGTACAGACGTAAGTCAAACACACTTACCGTTTAGAAAAATAACACACGTTCTCCTCTCTACTTTCTCACAGCTTTGTCCTTTAAACAGGAAGTAGAAATATCTTGAGTAAATTATTTACGGTCATAACAAAAAAAGACTGCAGCTACTGTGTGACATGTCAGTTTGAATGTGATAACAAAGTGTATCTCTCAGCCTTTTTCTGGTAAATCTAATTATTTGAGTGTTTTGACCTAACATCAGCTGGTTGCTTGGGTATCTGCAGGCCAAACATCTTTTTGACCTCGACTCTTTGCGTTCTTATCTGTGTTTTTATTGGACAGAGAGCTCTGCTGTAATCTATGTACATTCTCATGATAGCATTTAGAAACACTCCCTTATTTCAAATAAGTGTGAAGTCCTGCATGAATATTTGCTGTTGCTGATAAACTCTGCAGAGAAGCTCCAGCTGTCCGGAGTTAAAAACTCTTTAAGGATTGGCATCTTGGGTTTTTTCCATTTTCACAAGCTCTTGGTATTGTTCTCTTCTGGTGTTGACATGATTGCAGAGCCTAATGTCATGCTGGCTAGTGGCAGGAGTCACAAAGCACAGGATTATGTTAACACGCACTGCAGGTAGTAGTGGCTGTTACTGCTGTGGGATAAATGTACAAGGAAGAGATCATTGCTTTTTGATCACTTATTCTTGCTTAAAGCACCCCCTCTGGTAGTTGTTGGGACATTATAAAGCCCTACAGATGAAGTAAAACTCTTCTGATTGTTTTTACAGGGAATTAAACCTGACAGTTTCTACAAAGTCAAAGTCCCAGAACTGAAGGAGATCATTGAGGGCTGCATTCGCATGAACAATGATGAAAGGTACAAGTCAAAAACATACACTGTGATCAACAAATAAAAAAATGATAAAGTTAAAGTGATCTTTATGAAGTGCACTAATCCCTATTCCATGTCTGTTTTTTTGCTTTGTTCTGTAAAGTAACGATCTAGATTCTAGCTTATAACTTTGTGCAGATAAAATCTTATTTTTTCAGCAAAAGAATCTAATTAAATTACATTTTTTGCATCTACGGAGAGTTAGAAACGTGGTATTTTGCACGTTTTAGGTGTGCATGTAAAGTTAATTAAAACCTGCTGCAAGATGTACATATGTTTCTCAAAGCTAAAGGTATCTGTTTAATTTGTTATGGATAAATAATAAAAGGTCTGTGTTTAAAAATATGCAAATCAACCTTTTAAGGGTCTAAAAGCTGACTGATTTTCTTTTTTTACTGCAGGTACACCATTCAGGACCTCCTGGAACACCCCTTCTTCCGGGAGAACAATGGCGTGCACGTGGAGCTGGCAGAAGAGGACGACACGGTGAAGTCGGGTCTGAAGCTGTGGCTGCGCATGGACGACACCAAGAAGCTCCACGGGAAGTACAAGGACAACAACGCCATCGAGTTCCTCTTTGAGCTCTACAAAGACGTGCCTGAGGAGGTGGCTCAGGAGATGGTAGGCTGACACATGAAGACAGCGTGTTTTGAGGTCAACCTTTACTGCTCTGCTGGCCCAGTTTGAGGCAGCCATTAGTGAGGAAATTGAGTAATTGATCCCAGATCAACAGATAAAGGCGACTTCAGCCAACCCCCACACGCTCTCTGCATCCTGATCTTGACTTATGATGATAGCTTTTAATGGGTTTTCTGGGGGACGGCGGACTGGATATGGAGTTGTTATTAACCTTAATGATCTTAACACAAATAAACACCAGATTCCCCCTCACAACAGAAAGATGCTTTGAAAAAAAGGTGGTTAGGTGACAGATGGTACCTTTTTAAATGAGCGTTTATTTTGAATGCACATACAGATGTTAGATTCAGAGACCTTATTACAGGCAAACATCACATCATGGACTCTTAACATTATGAGTGAAGCAGACATTTCCCTTTGAGTTATCTGTCGTTTGACACTTGACCCCACACAGTGAAAGCAGCCTCACTAATGCACCCTGGCATCATTATGCTTCTTTTACGGTTCTGTTATGACAGTACACACTCTGAAATGCGCTCCAGCCCATAAAGAGAACGCCATGCAGAGTGTGTCAAGGGCACAGCTCAACATTTAATCATCAGGGGTTCGAAATGTGAGAGCGTGTCTCAGGAAGCAGCCGAGGTCACGTCTTTAATAATATAATGGCTCTCCTGCTCGTTACGAAACAGGCCCTTATGTCCTCCAGAACCCCCTCCGTAGAGGTCACTTTTAATGAAAATGCAAGCCACAATTCCTTACTTGTTTACCTCTTTGTGGTAGTTTTCATCAAGATCAAATTTGGTATCAGCAGGGGACATCTAGTCCGGCAGATCTGCTGTAATCTGATTATGTGTTGAGAGGCAGGTTGGGACTGAGTGTCCCACTCTGCTGGACTGGGTGTCACAAGAGGCTATGCAAGACTCCACATTGGCAGAGAATGCAAACAGTGTGCCTTGGTTTTACAAAACAAATGCTGGTAGCACAAAAGCTTTTGTCACATCACAAGAAAGACTGTCGCACAACCTGCGTAATCAGGTCACTAAGTGCAACAGACCTGCGTAAATTGTATGCATATTGCAGCAGCAACTCATGGACTATGACTCCTACACGTGTCCATGTTGTGCCCTGACCATCTCTGTGTCTTGTTATGCAGGTTGTGCTTGGGTTCGTGTGTGAGGCTGACTTTAAGCTCGTGGCCAAGGCCATACGGGACAGGGTGGCGACCATCAAGCGGCAGAGAGAGAAGCTAAGGCGGCTGGCAGAGGAGCGGAAGAAGAAGCAGGAGCAGGAAGCCTTAGAAGAAGAACCAGAGCCTCAGACTCCTTTACCCAAAGTCAGCGACATTGTTGCAGCAGAGTCACCCACCCCGGCCCTGACGCCTCCGGCCCCAATCTTGTCCCCCGTCACCAGCTCTGTGGACTCTGGCGTCAGCTCCAACTACCCTGCAGAGCCAGAGGAGCCAGAGGCAGACCAACACTTCCACATGCGCTACAACAGCTTGTCCTCTGCTAACTGTGAGCGGCCTAATATAAAATCCAAGTTTGTAGGGTCCACCCACTGTGATTTTCATGTTTTCAGTTCAAGTTTGCAACTTTTTAGGCTCATAAAACACTTTTAACACCAAGTGGATAATACGAAAACGATCATCAGTTTCAAAACAAGGATGTTTCTCATACAGTACTTCCTGAAGACGTATACCATATTAAAAAACAGCAAAATAGTGCATTATTATTGTTAGGTCTTAGTATAGTAGTGAAGTATTTGTATAATATAATAAATAATAAATAAAAAATAAAATATAAAAATAAAAATATTTGTAGTACAAGTATTTAGATCCTTTACTTAAGTAAAACTAGCAATACGAGACAATAAAACTTATAAAAGTATAAAGTGCTGCTTTTGCATTATGTTATAAATATCATATTATTGAATTATTATTACAGATGTATTTACATGTAAGAGGAAGCATTTTAAGTTTGAAAATGGTCATGGTAGAGGTAATCTAAATACTTTAAATACTGTTGTGGATGGTTCAACCTATAACAATGCATCATATTTCATAAAGTAATCTTTTGTTTTGAAAGAAATCTGATAAGCAACTAATCCAAAAAAATACAATACATTCTGAAATATTAAAGGAGAAAACATCTAATTTAAATACTCAGGAAAAGTACTGTAACATTGTAATTAGCTACAGTAATTGTAAAAGTAAATGTACCCATAACATTCGACCACAGTTTGAAACCCACTGCATACAATCCCATGCATCATGTTTCAGTCACATGGGCTTAAATTGGATTTGATTTATCGAGTGTTCGGGTCAAGAACTCGTCATAAACTCTGGAGACATTTGTCTTTCACTGCATTATCTGTGTACTGAACAGAAAGCCGTTCACATCTCAGAGCACATGGGAGGCATACAGTGAAATGTGAAACTGGATAACTAAATTATTCAGTCCCTGTAAGTCTCATGGTGTGGGCGCGTGTGCTCTAGTTATTGAACATTTCTCGGTTTTTATTCAAAACAACAGCCCAGCATATCCTGTGGATCTCCACAGTGAAACCCTCTAAGTTGTTATTATGTTAGTGTGTGGTATGTCTGTGGGGGATCACTAGGCCTGCGTGTTTCCATGCATATAAGTGTGTGTACTGTACAGATTGTGTCAGTAAGACCACAGTCGGTCACATGCTAATGGTTTGTGTGCTTTGTTGAAACAGCTGACTGCGAGACAGACGGCTATCTAAGCTCCTCTGGGCTTCAGGATCCGCTGGAGGCCGGCAGCTTCAACACAACCCCTCCCACCACACACACCGACACACCGACTGCAAACGGTTTCCCCATCCCAGCCCTCCGCTTCCCCTCGGTGAGTGGCCTCAAGCAGCGCCGGGGGGTGGAGGCGTAAAGGATGACTTTCAAGACTTTTACGAGACCTCCTTCACCAGCATTACTCAGTCTAACACAGTGCCGACGCCCCTAATTTTGTGTACCTACTAATTAATAAAGGTCTATACATGTTATGTTGTTCTTCAAGTCAGTACGTAGTTAACTTTACATTCATATGGCAAAGGATGTAGAGTTTAAGCAACATTTTAACAAGAATAACAAGAGTCTGCAGTCTCTGTGAGGCATTCCTGTGCCTTAATCTAAATGCTAATATCAGCATGCTAACATGTTCAAAATAACAGTCTTAACATGCTGTTTAGCAGGTATAATGTTTTCCATGTTCACCATCTTAGTTTAGCATGATAGCATGCTAACGTCTGCTTATTAGCACTAAACACAAACTACAGCTGAGGCAAATTATAGGAAAAACTGACATTTCTACCTGTTTATGGCACTAAATGAAAAGTTGGTGGATCACCAAATCTATTGCAATTCATTCTAAAGGAGAGCGTGAATGTCTGAGCCAAACTTTGTGGCAATCCATCCAACAGTTGTTGAGACATTTCACTCAAAACCCCAAATTTCAATCTCACGGTGGCTCTAAAGGAAAAATCAGAGGCTCGCAAAGTCAGTTAAAACATTTTATGGCAGTCCATCCAAAACTTAATTTATTATTTGGACTGGACCAAAGCACTGCCTATCCCGGGTAGAAACCATGTCTATGAACGTGCCAATTTTTATTTAAAATGGCCAAATTTAAGTTAAAAATGAAGCATTTTGGGTGCCTGGTTAGCTCAGTCGGTAGAGCTGGCAACCTATATACGGAGTTGCTGCAGCGGCCTGGGTTCGAATCCGACCTGGGGATCTTTGCTGCGTGTTATCCCCTCTCTCTACCCCCCTTTCCTGTCTATCTTCAGCTGTCCCTATCTAATAAAGGCATGAAAAGGCCCAAAAAAAAAACTTTAAAAATAGAACATTTTGTGTTGACGTAACTGCAAGTAAATCAAATACTTAACTTAACTACTGAACTTAAAATTCAGTATGTGGAAAATGTTTCCTGCCTACTACCTTGTACTAAAGCTTCAGAGGAAAAATAAGTCAAAGGAAAGTATTGACTTTTTACTTGGTTACCTTACCTCATCCCTCATTTCTGTTCACAGAGTATTGCCGTTTCCAACAACATAGAACATAGCAACTCAGGGCCCCCGAGCGGCTTCAACTCTCCTGTGGACAGGTAATGGTCTTCTTTTTTTTTAACATCTAAGGAACAATGGAGTTCAATAGTTTCTTCTTTATTTAGAAAATCAATGTCAATCTAGTAGAAATGTCTGGTCTTCCCTCTATAACTCCTCCTCCTCCACATCTGTGGGGCTGCGACAACAAGCTCGAGGCAATCGACAGGCTCGTCTGTGTTTGTATTGCAGCGAGGCGGAGTGGACCCTTGCAGGTTTCTGTGTGACTGGCTCTCAGATGTTGCAGAGGCCCTGTTGTCTATGTTGGTGGGATGTTAAGGAGAAAGCGGCTTTATTCTTGGCATGAGAGCCGACAATGGACAATACATTATGTGTGTGTGTGTGTGGCTGTCATCTGGGCTCCATCCTCTGTTCAGGGATGTTTGTAATGATATTGTCACCATGCAGAACCTGACATGTGACGCTTGCTGAGGCTACAAGTAACGACTATTAATCATAACTGATGAATCTTTTGGTTATTTTTTGATTAATCAATTAATTGTTTAGTCTGCATTCTTTCAAAAATATAGAAAAATGCCGTTTTCTGAAGACCAGATGACATCTTCCGATTGCTTGTTTTGTCCGACCAACAGTCTAAAACCCAAAGATATTCATTTTACAGTGATATAAAAAAGAAGAAAAACAGCAAATCTTGACTTCAGCAATGAATCCATTAAGTGTTGTTAATACATTTTAAAATTAATTTGTGCTTGAATACAGTTAATTCTGGGCTTTTCCTGTATTTAGTTCCAAAATGTGGTTGGGATTTACAAATGCAGCAATAGTCAAAACGTCTTCTACAGTCCGCTTGTCTTCCATGATTGAGAGTTTATCTGACTTGTTCATAGTAGATTAAAATAAATGTCAAGGCTAGAGTGTCATCTTTCATAACAGCTTATGCATGCACTATTTAGGATCCAAAACATACTTCCAGTTGCTTAATTCTTCCTCTGAGAAAACCCAAGGCTTTTCTCAGAGGAAGACATTTCATCACAAAACAGAAGAAACATTTGCAATATCAACACAAATGTTTCATCCGTTTTACTCTCATTTCCATGTAGTGTTTAGAGGTGAAAACAGGCTTTGCTCTGAACTTAAGTCACCCGTGAGGTGGAGGTTCTTAAATAGACAGGCAGACGCTGCCAACCAGTAGGCCTGTAAATGTTTGCAGCCTGTAGATGGAGAGGAGTCTATGACCACAACGATCCAAAAAAGTCCCATGAGACGCAATTAGCTGAACCAAAGCTTTTTATAAAACACACTGAATGTTCTCCAGTTCTCTGAAATCTAAAACTCGTTCATTGTATAAACACAACGGTTCACATGAACGTGTTGCTTCCTCTGGATGAACGGCACCTTCGCATAGACTCACAACAGGCCTCATTAAACTACATTGTTTAACTCGGCTGTTTACGCCCAAGAGACATGCCACTGTAACAAATCAAGACTTTATTTGACACTTCATAGTGCTGTTTATTATCATATGTGATGCCAAGATAATCAGCCGTACGGGATACTCAATTCCTTTTACACTTCTGTTGTAGATAATGAATTTGCTTTGAAATTACAGCATGAGGAATGTTTCAGTGGCTTTGTTGGGCGTATTTCCTAATCAGAAGCTTGTATAATTTACTTCTTTGCAGCTACGCCTCTGATGTGACTTCAGGCTTGAGTGACGGCTACGAGGGCCTATCAGAGAAGAACGAGAAAACGGCTGGTAGGCGAACTGCCGCGAAGCTGTTCAGGAGGAGGGCGCGCTCAAGGCTGCGCATCACAGGGGTACAATAAATCTAAAGTTTTGTTTAATTGCAACACTGTGAATGCATTTTACGGACGTCATAAACAAATAAATCAGTCAGCTAGATTTAAGTGATTGAATTAGCAGATTCATTTTATTTATGAGCAAGTGGTGAAGCTCCACCCTGATTATGTAACATTATCAGTAGCTATGGTTTTCTTCCCCTGGCAACCGCAGTACATTTCTTTTCTGATCAGGACACTCCGTGGTCTTTTAATGAGCTTGTTTGGACTGGAGGCAGAGGCAAACAGATCATGCATAACCACGTGCATACAGTGTTGCAAAGACTGCATACATTACAAACATAAACACACTGAATTTTACAGTAGACAAACCACTACCACTTTACTCATACACAAAAACATTGTTCCTCTGGTGTTTAATTTTGGTTGGTGGTTTAGAGGGTAAACTGGCTTACCATTGATCCTGTTCGTCTCTGCAGCTCTCCGATAAAGTGGACCGGGTGGTGGAGTGTCAGCTGCAGACACACAATGAGAAGATGGTGACCTTCAAGTTTGACCTGGATGGAGATAACCCTGAAGACATCGCAGCTGTCATGGTAAGTCATTACTGGTCCTTAGTCACTGGCCCAGCAATGATCAACAGGTATATTCAAAATGTCAACATTAAAACACTTCTCTTGGGTTAAAAAATAGGGTTTCTTTTGTTATTGTCTATTTACTTAAGGTGTAAGTGGTATTGATTTTTTGTGAAATATGGCTTTGGACCAAGTAACAATTGTTAGATTTTGGTGATGATTCTGATCTGGAATATCCACCACTCCACCAACATAATAAATAATTGTTGACATGGCAGAATTTTAACTCTTGATCTTGATTGATTCTTGATTTAAAATGAACCTCTGTAACTTTTGCTAGACAGCAGATACACTGGTGACAGTGGCAGGACAATGGTAAATCCTAAAACTTAGTATAACAGTAGGACAAGTACAGAAAAGCCCTCAAGTCAGTAAACTGACTCAGTAATATCCATTACATAGAGATATCTAAAGTTGGCTAACATTAGCTGCCAAAAGCTGCTGGTTACACCAACCAAGTAGGGTTGTAGCAGCAAAAACCGAGGGTGTGTCAAATTGATCATTTGTATTAATTCTAATTTAACTTTTCATTTGTAAGGAATGTGCTGGAATGTCTTATATCTTCTTTCAAATTTTACATAATCTTGCTTTAAAGGAGGAAGAAGTCATAAATGAGATCTTTGATTTACTTTTGAAATTTGTATAGAAGTCATTTTACTTCTTGATCCCCCCACAGACAAACCAGTGGTTCACTCATCACAAACTTGTTCTGTGGAACCAAACATTGCTCCCTTTATTTTAAATTCTAGGGGACAGCCTAAAGTTTCCAAAGATACCAATGGTGTCAGGCTGTTTTATTTTTTGTTGAAATTTGTATAAAATGATGCACCAGACTCGAGTCTGGAATATTTCAAGTGTAAACACCATAGATGCCACCTAAGGAGAAATAGAGGGGATGTTGAGGATTAACGACGGAAATAATCAGTCTTCGTTAGAGCTTCCTAGAACTTTATAAGACTTGTACAGAAATAAATAAATGATCTCACTCTGTCAACTGATAAGTCTAAAAGATTCCTCTATCTCAACTGATAGCACACATGATTCATCCTGCTTTCAGTTAACAGCCTGTTGTTTGTCCATCCAAACTCTGGCTGATAGTATATCAAACTTTCTGTGAAGTGAGTGACGCAGGTAACCGGCCCCATCCCCCTGTTATTGTCTTCATTAGGGGAGAGAGGCGGCGCCCTCACGCGAGTCGTGGTGAGGCAGAGTGCGCAGCAGCACTTTTTGTTCACTGAATGTACTGTTTTCCTGATTCTTAAAACACAGTGGGCTTTTGTTTACTGAGTCCTGGCGCAGCAGGGAGCTTGGCATCACAGCAGCCCCCGTGGTTCTCAGTGCAGTTTTAAATGCGCTGAATTATGCCATGCTGACAGGAAACCGTCACCACGCCCCAACCCACAATTCACAGCAATGCTCAAATCTGCATGAATATGCAAAACTCAAAACCTCCGAGTCCTCCAACAAACTCCTGTATTGTGGATTTACGTGAGATGATTTATGTATTTTTTCCTAAGAATAAGCATTAGCTGAGGGTGGGTGGGTAGATTTCATAGATGGACACACAAATACAAGTAGTAAGTACATTTTGCACTCTAGAAGCACGTGTAATTGTATCTGTTCTTTTACAGTGGTGGAAAGTACTTTTACTTACTATAGTTACTCTAAACTTGCAGATTATGATTTTTTATTGAAAATAAAATGTTGACCTAAAATATAATACATTTTTATAGATTTTACTTCCTAATTTTGTACAGAGTAGATGAAATCAGCACCAGCTCAAACAGATAAAACAGCAAAAGGCTACTCAAAGATTACTTACATAACAATCCAATGATATTTTATATCATAACACTCACGGCACTTTTAATTTTGATACTTTAAGTACATCTACTAATAATATCTGTATATTTTACTTTTACTTATAATAAGAGTAAATAGTATTTTCACGCGTTATTGCTACTTTTACTTAAGTATCTGAATACTTATTCAATCATTGTCCTTTTGTCTTCAAGGTGCACAATGAGTTCATCCTCCCGTCAGAGAAGGAGGGCTTCATCCACCGCATGGGTGACATCATCAAGCGGGCCGAGTCTCTGATGACCAAAGAGCAGCCAGTCCACTCAAGCGGACACCGACTTCCCCAGCCTGCTTTCCACGGCGGGGTTAACTCATTGTCTTCCTCACAGGTCAGCAGCAGCACCTGCTTCTTTCCAGTATTCCACATCACAGCATTGTTAGCTGAGAACAAAGGAAGTAACAGTAACAGAGCGTGTGTTTTACTGTGCTGTCTGATCATAAATTACACCAACTATAGTGTGTCTTATCTAAGGCAGACCCATAAATCTGCAGCAAATGGAGAGCTGTAGAGTAGTGCTTCCTATACTGGAAATAAACAGCCTCGGTGGAGTGCTGTACTCACTGTCCACATTCCCTCATGAGAGTTGCCCTTAAAGATGGGTTAAGTGTTCCTAGAGCCACCTGAAGTAGTGCTTTCATTTAGAACATAATGTTACTAAAAGCACTAATGTCATAAAACACTGTGATTTGTGGAAACATACCCTGTGCCTCCTTTTTTTCTTCACATTTATTTGTTCCCACAACCACAAATCCTTTCCAGTGCGTACAACATAATGAACTTTCCAGCGTATGTTCCCACATTGAATGAGTAAAATAATTTATGTTTGGATTTATTAAACCTTTCTGCATCAAGATTATGTGAAACTGTAAAATGAAGACTTCCAGGAAAAGAAAAAAAAAAGTTATTAGGAACAGTGCCACCCTGTACTAGATATGACCTAATGCCTAATCAGATACAGTTTGTCTGCTTAAAGGGAAAAGAAGTGTCTGTCCTGCCAGGATATGTTCCACTCCATAGAACACGCAGAACAAAATCTCCTTGTGCCCCCCTAGTAAAAATGATCAAACATATTCATTAATGATGGAGAAAAGAATAATGTGCGGTTTTATTTAGGACTAGAGAAAAGTAAGAGTAGTAAACCACTACTGCCAACTATCTACCTTGTTCACCATTTTTCCGACCCCCTGGCTACATCATTACCCCAAACCACTGTGGACAAATCTCTCCTGGCTCTGTTCCAGCGCCTGATTAAAAACACTGCCTGGACCACATCCTCCAAGAACCGTAATGGCTGCTCTCACCAGCAACGTCCAGCCAAAAAAAAACCCCCAGACCAATCTAATTAAGTCAGGACGAAACCCACAAGCCCAGAGACTCATCTGTTTATCTCTGAGGTAGGGGGCTATTCTGAGAGTTTTGGGAAGAGACACTGTGTATAAATGGAGCTTGAATCCCTGGAAAGCCGGGCTTGTCTAGCTGTTGCTTGTTTCCTCTTCCCACCACTTGAAGAACAAGACGGCAGCCCTTGTGAGGCTGTGCAGCAGTGAGCTACGTGCAAACAAGCTCACAATGACAGTGCACACATACTATAAAGCAAGTGTGCCGTTTACCATTTTCACCTTCTTAATTTAGCTTGTTAGTATGCTAATTCTTCTGCTTCTTCTTCTTAATTAGCACTAAACACAAAGTACAGCTGTGCCAATGCCTCTTGAAGATGTTGAGATATTTCACAGGATAATTGAAAACTTTGACCTTCTGGTGGCGCTAGAATATAAAATTATTTGTATAAATTCACTGGGGTTTCTCACTTCTCAGTTTTTTTTTTGCAGAAAAGACTAGATTATAGCAGCCAGTTATCCAAATTATGCAGAGTTAATGAACTTCCATAAAATGCACAAAGACATAATAATAGTTGTATTAACTGGTTAATAACATGGAATTTATTATGGAAACAGCTTTTCACAAATTAACAGTAAATTCTTTACAGCCAGCTTAATATTGACTTTATTGCCCACTTAATACGCACTGTATTGCACTGACGGGGAACACGTACTCGTATACCTGAGGTCAGGCCTCAGTGTCACCTTTATTATCTGAAGTCCGAAGCATCCAGTGATTTAAAAGGACATTTCATAGATTTTATATGTCAGTCAGTTTACGAGAGGTTACTACACAAGCAGTAACTAAATCACCCAGCAGACATTCCCTGGGTATCTTAGCAGAGAGTTCGCATTACTAACTGGGACATGCAGTTTTCGAAGAATATGGCAGGGAGGGTCTAATCAAAGACACTAATAAGTTGCATGCTAGTAAGTTGCATTATGGGAAGTGTAGGAGCTATTGTTTTTGGATCTTGGCCCAGTTTTGGGTCTAACATTTACAGTAAATTTAAATTTCGAATTTATGATCTCTTCTCCATCGATTTTGTCCATACATATGTCCCCCAATTGTGAAATATGGGGTTCACTTAAACAACACGCATGGCAGAAGTAGTACCAATACAACATTAATATGAACACAATACTCTCCAGTCCAGTCTCTACCCAGTCACATTCAACTCAGATACACATGTGTATTATAGTCAGTAATGAGTCGTGGAAAGAGATTGAGTTTTATCAACTGTTGCTCTCTTACAGCCTAATCTGCACAGTCACACCCTGCCTCGAACCAGCTCCTCCTCGTCTCTGCCTGGTAAGTCTTTCGTCTAGTTTGAAACTGGATAATTTGATGCTTGAGGAGATTAAACATGATATGAATAAAGTCTGAAATTCACCAATTAACATTAAGTGTGTGTGAACTGAATAAAGTCTTTCTCACAGCATGTCAGATTAACTTGCATTTGTTTGTTGCATCTTTTTAACTGTGCATGATCATTATGTGTGTGTGTGTGTGTGTACTGACATGTGTGCAAGAGCATCCTCTCATGCATGTGTGTGTCTTGTCTTAGACTTCAGTCTGGCTAACCCGAGCGTTGGGGTACGTGGCTCTCCCCCGTGCCCCAATGGAGACGTCTTCAGTGCAGACATTACTTCACCTGGGCGACCTCTAATGCGCTCACAGTCTTTCCACAACGCCCCAGGTAAATAGCCCTCCGCCCCTCCCTCTGGTCCCTACGTGAAGAGGCCTTGCATTGTTTACTGTTTCAGCACACTGAAAAATTGTTACAGTCCTTTGGCAAAGAATAAGTCAAAGCAAAGCTCAGCTACCTCATAAACCCTCCCTCCCCTTCTCGGGGCCCGTTCTTGGTATTGTTCAGACATTCGCATTGGCGCCATCCGCCATCCCCACACCTCAAAGCCTCGCTGTGTCTGCCTTGCAGCAGGGCCTCTTGGGTAATTACCTCACCTGAAGGGCCCTTTCTGGCTTTTAGAGAGCTGTGAATGCTGTCGCTGTGAAGCATGAGCTTTTCTCCAGTGCTGCGATAGTCGGCAACATCTGTTTGCCAGCACAAACTCCTACAGAATTTCCAAGAAAGCCTCCTCCCCCATCAAAGACTCCATCCCCACAGGAGGGGCATTTGAAGTCAATTAAAGAACACATATCCTCCATATGCCCCCTGTTGCAGCCTCAGTGGCCATCTGAACATCCTCATCCCCTCTAGTCTTGTGTCCCCTCTCTGCTGGACGTCCAGTGCAGGGTTGCTTTCGCAATGCTTCTGGGCCTCCCGCCACTGTTATGGAGTGTTGCCTAACCTATGTTTCCGTCAGCATGGAAAAACGTAGAGGCTGGATTGCATCATCATCAGCAACAAGAGGCGTGGTTTGTAACTGTGGAGCTATTGTTGAGGTAAATGTCAAATCAATAGATGGGGTGAGGACATTGGAATCCTGAAGTATTCCCCGAGGAGTGATGTAGAAACCCTGACTACTATAATCTTACAATCAGACCCAAAAAAGTTGTGTACACACGTGTGTTCCATTTACTCCTCGAAAATGTCCTACGTAAAAGCTTCACTCGCTCCATTGATGCTGAATCCCTCACAGCAATGTAAGCCTGGGGTGCAACTGCTCCAGCTTACGAATGCAATTATAGTCGGATACTACTTTAAACAAAACATCTTTGTTCATCATGGAAACCCATTATTTGAAAGTACGGAAAGGATTTATGCTCCACATGGCGTATGTCTTGGCAGGGGGCTGAAGCAAGAATTAGACTGACCAAGCCCAGAGGAGAGGGGAAGAACTTGTCTCTCCAGATGAACTCTGTCCAATATTCCTCTACAACTGTGCAGAATTACGTGTTTTTTCTTGCACAGTTTATACCCAAATTAACAACAAATTGATCTTTGTCTTCCAGGTTCTCCTCTCCATTACCAGAACCATCACAACCCTGCGTCTCTCCTGCCCCACCACCAGCACTACCACTTGCCCTACATGGGCCACAGTCACTTCCCATTCACATACCCAGGCTCTCCGGGTTCCCCCAACCATCCTCCCCTCACACGTGTAGCCAGTAACCCCACCTTACCTTCTGTTCCCTCCCCAGCCCCCGGTTCCCCAGGTCCTCTAATAGAAACCCCAAGTCCCGGCAGCAATGAGAGTGTTAACATGTCCTCACATGCCCCTCAGCATCCCAACATGTGGGCCCCCCACACGCAGCCCCTGTTTTCCTTAGCTAATGTCATCTCCATGGCCATGAGCATGGCCCAGTCTTTCATCCCTCCTCCAAGCATGCCCACCCATGGGATGTCCTCCTTTCCAGGCTACCACCCCCAGCTACACTCTCAAATGAACCCGCAGTCAGGTTACCCCTCTGTCTACCAACAACATTACCAGACCCCACCAGTAGAGGTCCCTTACCCCACCGCAGGCATCCCATCACAGAACGTCTACCACAGCCCTGAGAATACGTCTCAGATGGATGGTTATCCTCAGAGCACTTATCATCAGAGCAGTCATCCAAGCTGGCTGCATCCTGTCTCTCCACCCACTATGCCTTCCACTCCTCCACTGGTTCCCCAGGAGCCTTTGCAGCATTTTGGACTCTCCAGTCCCCACAGCATGACCCAGGAGGAGAGTTACCACGGTTATGTGCCCCCATACACAGCACAGGTTCCAGCTCAGGCTGAACCCAGATCAGAAGTCTTCAGGTCAAACTCTTCATCAGATCTTTCCCCATCGCCCCCAGAGAGCCCAGAAAGCACTGTGAGTCACATTTAGTTACTTCTTTCTCCCAGTTTCTCTCAGTTGAGATTCCTTTAAAGTGCTGTTGTGTGATTAGTGCTTAAATGATTAATCGTTCATCAAAAAAAAATATTGATTAATCATTACAGTCATTTCTGAGGCTAATGTGCCAGACATTTATAAGTTCCAGCTTCTTAAATTTGAGGATTTGTTCTTTTTCTCGATTTTATATGATTGCAAATTAAATATCTTGGAGTTTGGACTGTTGGTAGGACAGAGCAAGCTATGTAAAGGCTCTGGGAAATAGGTATGGGATTTCTTTCACTATTTTCTGACATTTTGTAGGCAATTCTTTGATAAACTTATTTAATTTATTATTAATTTTAACAATAGGGATACACAGATCCAGCTTTTTCTATTCCAGTACAGATTTCCAAAACAAATTCTCTGTTTTTCCCTTATTTAAAATCTGTGCACTGCACTGCGTGGAACTTATTTGGGTCATTGTATCTAAGCCAGCATTTGGGATTTCTTTGGCACTAAAAACTGAGTTGGTGGCCCGCCATAACTGATAACTGAAACACTGAATTTCAGAACAAGATTGACAAGATAGACAATCTGCCGTATCACTAATACTAACAATGTTTATTCTTCCTGTCTAGTTATCATCCTTCAGCACTCAGCTGCACCCCGCTGTACCTGAGATGAATGCCAGTAGCCCTCAACCAAAAGCCTCTTCCACGGAATCGGGTAAGAAATTCTGTGCATGTTCTCAAGTTCCTGAAACCAGTTTCTCATAAACACCTAATGTACAAGGGCTGGGAGAGCTGGAAAATGACATACTCTATGATGTTTATGTTTGCACCCCAAACAAACCCACACACATATACACATGCTTGTGTATACAGACAAATGCACCCACAGTCAAACATTACAAGTTTATTCCCCTCTGCTCCATTTTATGATGTCTTAGGTCTATATATTATCACCTATTAGTGGTGCCTCAGGAGCCGTTGCGTAACCGCGAGTCTGGATGTAATGTTCCATTCGAAATGAACACAAACGTAGGTGTGATTGGGGCCCTACCCACCGGCAGCGACCAATCGGCGAGCAGCCGTGCTCATTACAGGCCTCTCCTCCCATATCCACACCTGTCAGTATTTATACCCTCCTCAGAAACCCACATTCAACAGAGTCCCTCTGTTTCAGTGGGCAGTGACCCAGATGCTTTCTGTGTTTACAGTAAGAAGGACACTTAGTGGGCGGACTGAGGCACTGCAGGACTTTAAACCCTATAATGGTCTGCAGATGTGAGAACATTCTGTGACTCTTTGCGTCACTAGTATGTGACACCAGTCAACAACTCCATCACAGCTATTTGTTATTATTATTACTGCTATGAATTAAGGCTCTACAGAGGATATGTAATGTAATGGGGAATTACTGCAAACAGAGTGAGACCCCTTTCAGTACAGCTGCCAAGAAACACATGATTAGATTTTAATCAAAGCCTGGCAATTAGGAAAGAGTGAGGCTTTGTTATAATGATCAGTCAGCTCTGATTAGATTATCAGAACAATCACTTCTGTTTAGCCAATGATTGGCTGTCACTCCTATAAATAGGCTGTCCAGATGTTACAACTTCTTATTCATGGATGCTAGAAGTAAGTAGAAGGAGAACTCTAACTTACTAGAACTGATATTAACCAGTATAAAGTTTGTTTTATATTATACATTTAGATGCTTATTCATACATCTTTGTCCTGCAGGGAACTGGTCAAAGTAAAAGTGTTTTTAAGTATGTTTGTAGGATTTGTGTAGAGGACTAAACTCTTCCTCTATATTACAGTCCAGTCTGCACCAGTCACTGTTGGGAGATTCCAGGTGACACCCAGCATGGACATCCCTGCACTTCCTGTGCCAGTAGTTGCTGAACCCGCTGCACCGCAGCCGGCAGACAGCGGCAGCACCCCGTCAGAGAGCAGCACAGAGGAGCAGGGGGAGTCTGAGACGAGCCTGGGCACCTCCCTCACAATGTCCCCTCCTCAAACGCATCCCCACAGAGGGTCGACGGGGGTCCTCCAGGAGGTTGACGGACAGGTTGGGTGGGCTGGGAGCCAGGAGCAGCAGCAGGACAGAGATGAAGAGGATGAGGATGTGGAGGAGGAGGAGGAGGAGGAGGAGTAGGGGGAGGTAGAGGTAGAGGTCGTTGGGGAAAGGCAGAGGATAAGGAAGAGGAGTCGGAGGAGAGCGTACAGCCTGAGCCTGATGGGAACGTCTGCGGACAGCGGGCTCTCAGTGACGGCTGCTGAGACGGAGGGGAAGCTGTGGGACGGAGCGGCCGGCAGCCCGCAGTACAGCAATGCCCTTCACCATTTATGGATGATGACTTACAACCGCAACACTCCCTACCTAAGCAGCGATGACTCAGACAGTGACGATGAAGACATGCTGGAAGAGCTTCAGGAGCTCAGAGAGAAGTAAGTGACACCAAGAGGCTCAGAATACAGTTGGACACCGAATAGGTGCTATAAACAGAGTATTCATGGGAAATAGAAAAACACAAAAGATTGATAAATGCTCATCACAGTTTCCAAGTTGATGTGTTCGAATGGCTTGTTTTGTCCAACAAATCCCAAAGATAATAAAATTCTCATTATTTCTTATTAAATTATTATTTAGTTTTTTTAAGTTGCGGAAAAAGATCACTAGAAAACCACTAGAATTTGAATGCTATATTTAGTTCCTATAAATATATGAGATATAATATCTAGAAAAAAGTTTACCCATCCATTATCACAAACTTCTTAAGGCCTTCTCAAACCCACAACCCTGTTTCACTGACACATCCAGGCAACAAAAAGGAGCCTTTAACCGCTTACATTCGTTACTTTTTTGTCCTTTATCAGACATCTGACAGAGGTGCAGGCCCTGCAGGCTGCCCAGAAGAGAGAGATTGAGGAGTTGTATGAGAAGATGGGGAAGGTTCCACCTGCAGGCATCGTCTCTCCTGCTGCTATGCTGTCCAGTCGACAACGCCGCCTGTCCAAGGGGAGCGGCTACCCCTCGTCCCGCAGGAACAGCCTGCAGCGGTTGGACATTTTGCCACTCCAGGGTAAGGAGCCACATTTCTTTTAGGATTACGTAATCGTCAGAGTTAATACCTAGTAAATATGTCACAACTTTATGTGTAAATGTGTGCTATGTTTGTTTTCCTAGGTATCATTAGGAGAAACTCCCTTGGAGGCAGCAGCAGCAGTGGCTCCCAGGATAAACCAAGCAAAGGTGTCACCTTTGCCACTGACATTAGTAGAATGGTGAGTTAACACTGCATTAAAAAACTTAATATTCCTATTATTCTCCTTGTTAAACTCAACAAAAAAAGGCTTGTTCTCACTTTATGTATTCATTTTTTTTTTCTATTTTCTTTTTCCTAGTAAAAAACTCTCAGCCAAGCACGCTGTATATTTGGACTACCTCATCTGAAGTGTGACTGCAGTGGTCAAACCCGTCCTGTGGGAGGACCGCTTCAACACAATTCACTGGCACACCGATCAGCAAACGGCTTCCCTCTGCCAGTGGTCACACGGTTCTGCCAGTGTTCATTTACCTCAACGTACATATAAACTGTCATCAATAAGCTGGATTTACACAGGAACTGTAACTTCCAGTTTTCAGCCCGTCGTCAGATCTGGTGAATTTGTTGCAGCTGAAGCACAGAATATCTACCAATCTGGTTCATTTTTGCCCTTTTGTAAATAAACCGTCAGGCCTACAGGTTCAGGATGAACTTAGCCCTGGCTTCCACAGTACTCTGCAAAATGTCACATCACATGTTGTTTTAAATGTTTTCTCAAGTTTTTTTTTTTAGCATGAACGCAGTCAAGTGATGACTTTGACCCAGAATGATAATAGTTGCTGTTTTCCTGCTTGTCTGATTCACTGCCGTTAATCAACCCGAGCACAGTAATGTGAACCACAGCGAGGCTCTGTGACACTCTCTCTGACACTTTTACTGACAGTTGTCACAGACAAATGACAACACTTCAGATAATCTCGCATCCTATTTGCTGTAGTTTGTTAATGATGTCTCAGCACCTGCTGACTGCACAGTGAATACACTCTGATTACTGCCTTCCAGGGGCTGATGAGAGCAGTCTAGATGCATTGTACAGTTTGATTTTTTTCAAATATGTATTATGAAAACATTTAGTTGTAGTACTTCTTTAGTGATTTTGACACCTGGTAGGATTGGCCACACTCTCTAGGCTCAGCCTGGAGAAGTTTGACTGCAGTCCCGACATTTTTAGATGCAGTCAAAATGATTTTTCACATTGTACAGCAGTACAATACAGAGATATCATTTCTGTCAACATACATTTGAAGATGTTAACACTACAGAGAAAACAAAGTTGCACAACAGTTATAAATGTTTGCGTGTAGGTTGTTTGAGCAGAAAGAAAATCTGTTTTTCATTACAGATCTGTTCTACATGAAATGGGAAGATATTAGGTTAAATGGTGCAGAAGACTTTAGCGTAGAAAAACACCACACATCATTTTCAAATTCTATAGCTTGTTTTAAATTTAAAAAATGATTTCTTTGTATTGATTAGTTGTGAAAAATCCACCTAGGTTTTAGACTACTGGCTTTCCTGTTGATTGTACATGTGTATATAGTATAGTGCATTTTTAGATCATGTTTACAAGTTATGAGTAAACTGAACCTTAATTCTTGCTCCAGCAAAAATCATATTTTGTCGCTAGATCAAGCAACTTGTGCACTTTAGTACATTCTACTTTAGTTCTCAATCATGTAACACATTTGTGGATAAAACACGTGTTCACTCGAGGAAGAGCTGATACGTTTCCTGTTGATGTTCCATAAGGGAGGTCGAGAATATACTCCAGTTTATGTTTGATCACAATATGTCATATTGGATCACAGTGATGATGATCTACCCTCCCACAGTTTTAAATAATTAGTGCATTGTGGGACAATAGAGAAATCAGTCCAAGCTGTGAATGTGTAGCTGTTGCCTTATAAAATATTCACGACACACTGAATTTTTCTGGCAGTGGAACTCCTGTAAGATTTTCCAAAGTTCATAATATATTCAAAGACGTTTCAAAATTTTGAATGTAAATATATAACTATATTGCTTTCTGAAAGCTGCTGCTGTCCTGCCGTGCTGAATCTGTGCCTTTCCCTTACAATGTCTTATTTTATATTTTTACTCTCAAGATTTGGTGGCAAGATCAGACTCCATATATTAAATTTTGACAAAAATAAATGCAATTGTAAATACCGATGCTCTCTTGTCATCTTTACTGCTTCACCCCTTCCTTCAACTTTTTTTTTTCTTGCATCAACAGTTACACAGAGACATACTGTGTTAAAAAATCAAATACATTAGGTTTTTATTTTAGAAATCATAATTTTATTGACATAAATATGTTTTTAAAAGGTTGATCAGTGTGCCATATCAGCAGTGTCACTGGCATTCTCTGTTCTCTGCTGCTGAAGGCCTCTGTAGATTTAACATCATTAGCAGACTGAAATTGTGGATATTCCCTCAATACTGAACGCACATTGCATGATCAGGGCTGGAAACGGGGTCAGGTAAAGGGTTGTAATTACTCTACAGCCTGGGCCTTCTGGGTAGCATGTAGGGTCATGTTAAGGTCAGCGGATTAGACCTTTCCACTGTGAGGCAAACTTAATCAAAATCAAGACACGTCTAGTTTTAAGTCAGCAGCATAACCACATAATTACTCTTAAAATCCAGTGCTGTCTCAACATTAAAAACAGCGGCCGGCCACGGAATATAAATCAGTGGCATAAGTGTCCACGTAAGTCCCTTCTTGGGTGAGTGCAGGGCCGACACACAGTCCAACAACAAGCAGGCAACGTCTCAGTTGGCACCAGTCTTTGGTCCCTGCATTCTTGCACGCTTGGCCTCTTCATCAATTTCGTCCATGATTCGCTCCTGGGAGACCGAGTAGAAGGTGTAGCCGTCTGGCAGGGGAGCAGGTGGTCAAGGCAAAATATATTTGACAGCGTGACAAACATTACATGACAAAGGGAGTGATTTATGTGTGTGAAAACCTTAAGGTTGTCCATATTCATTAAAACATCCAAAAATTCCCATCTTGTGCTTTTTTTGGGGGGAATTGTATACACGCAGTCGCCACTTTATTAGGTACACCTAGCGAATATTAATTCAACAGCCTTGCTATAGTTCCTAACTACATTAATGTTATAATGTTTTGTTGAAACTGGTATTAAAAAAAAAGTGCTGATTCATCTCTACGGTCATTTTGGAAGCTGTAGTGCAGTTCAAGTGAATTGCATTACATTGGCAGGTGTTTCTAATATTTGATCTACCCTCATTTATATAAATGGTT